CTACAGAGCTACATCACAGAGTTTATAATCAATAAGTCAGCAGCAGGAGTGACATTTAAATTTGGTCACGCTTTCTGCCCCCTGTGATTTCCCCAGTTCCCGCAACCACCTGTCAAAAAACCCTCGCCGAAAAGCAGACCGCCTATGCTTTCCGGTCCATATGGCATTTTAGATTGAGAAAAAAGTATGTACTTTCAGTGCCAACGCATAGGCAAGTAAACAGCCAGCTTCACCCAGAGGTCTCTTTTCTCGCCTACGAGAAAGCAACTCTGTGGCACACCGACGCAGCAAGAGCCAAAAGTACACCCTGAGGACTGAAACGCGGCAGACAACCTTTGCACACGAAAATTGAGTCCAGCGTATGTTTTGCCTCTATCAGTCGTGTGTTGATTCCGAGGTTGTTTTTGGCGGTGGGAAAACAGTCGATCAAGTTAGAGAGAGAGAGCAGTTTTGCGGGGATGGGCACTCGGTGAAACGGCAAAGCGACAATCAGCTGCTGCTTGAGGTACTGTCGGTAACCACATTCTTCTAGCAGGCCAATAAAAATAGCAGGAAACTAGCAGGTTGGAGATTTGGGGTGTCATTTGCGTTGAGTATTTTTTACCGTAACGTGTGTACACCTTGCAGTCTATTATTCATGATCGTTAATTAGCTACGATATGCCTCCGCCGATCGTGTGCAGTTTTTCAATTGTGGAGTGGATTTTTAGGGCTGCAACGATTGCGAGATCACTTATGAAGGTCATTTAATTGTCGCAAACCCTACCTTATGCAGACAATGGAGTACTGGCAAAAAAATGGAGACTGGAATGACAACTTCTGACTTATTGGCTGTCGACAGCCAGGTCTGAATTACCTGGGATTCGAAGCCTGGCATCTTTGGTCATCGGGGGTTAAGCCGACAAGCGCTCTGCCCTTGCGCCAGGAGCCAGTTGTTCTGTTGGTTGTGATCGGAAATATGAACTCTTGTGGAAGGGGCTTTCGGTGATCGCGTTACAGGATATGCTCATCTCCTAATCTGGCCGGCGAATGGCTTTGAGCGTACTTTATCAAATGTATTCGAGCGTATTGTGAATGCTGATATAACTACTTATCATCCACAAGTGGGCAAAGCTAATGAACCTTTTGCGTTCATAAATTGGCAGGGCTGTCAGTGCATTATCCTGGAAGTGGCGGATGGTAGGTGTCTAACTAAAAATGCTAATTATTACCAATTTCCTCTTGAAGCCTCATTATCGTGGACAAAATCGAAAAGACAACATTCTAGAGACGAATATGCGCCCCCTGAGCAATTATTTAGAGTGCATAACCGATCTCATGAAATGTTAGCCGAAATTCTGAGATATGTTTTCGATTAGGAAGGATTACTTACGTGGGGTTCTGATCTTGCTTAGCATGCAGCATGATGCCATAGCAGTTCGGACTCATCAGGATGTCGGCTTCCGGATGCACTACTTTTGGACCTCCTGTGGAAAGCGCACTCGGTAAAAAATGACTACTTATTTAGCATGCACCTTCCCTACTGATTTTCGATTGCCTTATAAATTCAAATATATTTTATAGAAAATACGCACAAAATATGTTTTGCTTTGCCCGTTTGGTAAAAAATCACATTGTCTTTATATTTTGTGCCCGAAGAAAGTGTATATTTAGGTATCAAAAAGTTTCGAATTATGAGATTTTTAAGACCGTGCGATGTCCTTGCCTGAAAGACCGCAATGGAAGTTTACTAATGCTTCTCATGAAATGTACAAAACAGTCCGGATCTCTTGCCAAAATTGTATGAACTCTATGTGGCATCTTCTTAAAAGCACAGAGGAATATATGATTTTCTATACGCGGAAACCATGCACCTTGTAAAGTGATATTTCGAAACGCTGATGCAATGGCAGATTGGGCTCAAAATTACTTGGGATTTAGAAAACTTCATCAAAACCTAAATATGCAATTTTTCAGATAAAGAATGTAAAAATGATGTAATCTTCTACCAAAGGAGCCAAATAAAGTAAATTTTGTGCATGCATTCTATCAAATATATATTTAGATTTATAACATTATCGAAAATCAGTAGGAAAAATGCATGCCAATTAAGCAGTCATTTTCTGTCGAATGTGGTTTCTAAAGGAGTTCAAAAAGAAGTGTATTCAAAAGCCAACATCCTGACGCGTCTAAAATGTTATAGGATTATGTTGCAAGATAACGAATATTACAAATCCACATAAGTAATCCTTCCTAATCGAAAATGCATTCCAGAATTTTGGCCAACATTTCTTGAGATCGGTTACGCACTGTATGCTATCCATTTTCAGATACTGGAGAATTCCGCGCGCAACTCCCATTATATGGCGCATTTTGCTTGATGTGTCGGCCGAAAATTTTGACTGTGTGTGTGAGATGGATTCCCAATTCGCCCTGGCACGCGTCGTCCTTGTTGATCTTGGCGACAAGTAACCGTCCTGCCTGTTTCAAGCCTTTCCTGTCTCCTTCCTGGTAGCTAAGTAAAACCAGGCGCTGGGGGGAGGGGGAGTGGCAAGTTTACACGCAATAGGTTTCCAACCCCAACGACGTTCAACCTGCCGCAGATCACGCCCGCGTCGTGCATGGAATCTAGTTCGTGGCGGCCAGACGTTAACATGAGAGAGGATTGTGGCTAGATCCACCCACCAAACTAAGGTCCCATAGACCGTCACTATGACCGTAACTGAGCTGCTGCGTCCGCAAACTATGTGTCGCCATCTACGGCAGCGTTTACTTCTAAGTGTAGCCTACTCCGCCACCGTCATCGACGTTATTGCCGAATCCAGTCCAATCAGATATCTCATCTAAATGCGCTGATATAACATTGCTAACAAGATCTCTGACTCCACGTGCGTTGATTTCAGGCCCGAAAATTCATCCGCTTTTAGAGACGGACTGCGCTTTTAAATACACTTCTTTTTGAAAATTCTGCAGAAACCACACTCGGTAAAAAAAATGACTACTTAAGTAGCATGAATTTTCCCAATTGATTTTTGACGGTCTTGCAAATTCAAATATTTTTTTATAGAAAACACCTATAAAATATGCGCCTTATTCTTTCGGTAGAAAATCACACTGGCTTCACGTTTTATACTCGAAGAAATCGTATATATAGGTTTTGAAAAAGTTTCACAATTCGCGAATAATTTTGACTCAGACCAATCGTTGCATTAGCGTTCAGCGATTCCAGTCTGCAAGGTACATGCTATCGGCGTAAGGAAAATCATATATTATTATACTCCCTTTAAGAAGATGCCATGCGGAGTTCATTTAAATTGTGTAATGGGTGCTGATTGTGTTGTGCATTTCATGAGGGGTATTGGCAAACGGGCATGTGCGATGCTGTCTTAAAAGTTTTATAATCAGAAACTTCTTTAAAACCGAAAGATACCATTTCTTCGAGTATAAAACGTAAAGATAAGGTAATTTTCTACCAAAAGAATAAAAGAAAGCTTATTTTTGTCCATGAGTTCTATAAAATATATTCGAACACATAGGACCGTCGAAAATCAATGTGAAATATGCATGCTACTTAATTCATCATTTATATCAAAATTGGCTCCTGCAGAAAGTCGAAAGGAAGTGCATTCAAAGCCGACATCCTGCTTATTCCGATATACCATAGGAGTATGTCTCATGATGAGCAATATTACAATCCCGCCTAAATAATCCTTCCTAATCTAAAACGTATTCCAGAATTTCAGCCAACATTTCATGAGATCGGTCACGCACTGTACTTAATTTTCTAGTTATCACCGCGATTTCAGCAGTGGGCTACCGTATATCCTTTAGGAAATTTTTGTAGGACGCCGAAGAGCCTAGGAAAAACTTGTGTGAATAAAGTACGTTAGTGCCGAAGAGGGCAGCCTGCGTTCTCACTGAGTTGAGATTTACAAACACGACAGTTCCACCATCGTTGCCGACGATGTTCACCGTGTGCTCCACAACAAGGTGAAGCAGGGACGGTGACTTGAGGGGATTTATAGTGGTAGTCGACTTGCGCTGCATCTACCGCACTCTCTCTTCCTACCTCACCCAGACCCCGTTTCAAGACAAAGTCAAGAAGACCGGAGGGGGGTGAGGGAGCAGGTGGATGGCACGGCCGGAGCCGCCCCCCGCGTGCCGCTACACATGGCTCTGATCCCAGGGAGTGGGAGTGTAATAACGGCCACATTAGGTAGGAGCCATTGCAGCCTGAATCTTAGACCACCAGTCGGCCGCTCCACACAACACTGGGCCGACTGCGAGGTCCAAGTTATCCTGTCAGTTGGCAACCTCCCAAGTCCCGGCTTTTAACGCACCGCGATAGCCTCCAGCGCGTCAGACCGTTTATGAGGAAAGTGCGCTTGGTCGCCGACCTCACTCTCCCTTTCCGTTCGCCGGTGGTGGGGGGAATTCGCGCGGTGGCTGACATATCTAGCGACTTTGTCTGCGCGCGCCACATGCACGACCTGGCCTCCCAAATATACGATTTTACAACCCGGGGATTGATCGGCATACACCTCACACGAGTGCGAGTGCCATAGGTTATGTTAGGAAGGATCCGCTTTAGCCTGGCTCTCAATCCACCAGTCTGCCACACTCCACACAAACACAATTGGACAGACTAAGAGGACGAGTTGGAGCGTCAGTCAGCAGCCTTCCAAGCCTGTAATCACTGTAATCACACACCCAGCTGATGAGGGCACGTTTTCCTAGGGCGAGCAAGTGTAACCGCAGTTCAGCAGATAGAGGCAGCAAGTCGTATAACCAGGCGAATAAGAGCCTTTTAGGTTGAATGCGTAGTAGTAGGGGGCGGCAGTACTGGTAGGTCAGCAGCGGTTTTGGTAAACAATAGCGTAACTGCTACTTCCATCAATACTACTGGTGATCTTGGCAGTAGTATTTGCAGCCGCAGTGGTATTGATGATCGTAGCGGTAGTAGAAGTAGTAGTAGTAGTAGTAGTAGTAGTAGTAGTAGTAGTAGTAGTAGTAGTAGCAGTATTAGTAGTAGTAGTAGTAGTAGTGGCCGTAGTAGTAGTAGTAGTAGTAGTAGTAGTAGTAGTAGTAGTAGTAGTAGTAGTAGTAGTAGTAGTAGTAGTAGTAGTAGTAGTAGTAGTAGTAGTAGTAGTAGTAGTAGTAGTAGTAGTAGTAGTAGTAGTAGTAGTAGTAGTAGTAGTAGTAGTAGTAACCGCAGGTAAAACCCTAGTGCTTGCGCAGCGGCCTTTCTTCCTCACCGTCAGCAGAAGGACACGGAACACACGCCCACCGGATCTCAGGACAACTCACCTACAAAATTGGCATCGTTGTCATTATTGACATCAGCAACATATTATTGACAAAGAATAGGGATGTAAGGTGGTTCGTCTAAGTCACCAGAAGCATCACTGGATGAGGGGGACGGAGTGGTGGAAAGACCGCGCGCGCGGGGGAGCACGCATAGGTGATCACAAGGCTGGAAGGAGAGCAGAAGCATAAAGGCGGGAGTGGGAGGGGGGCGTTAACACCGAAAGTGCAAGCGTTTGCAAATGAGTTTAGCCGACAATGGCAAGACCACGCTAAAGTACCGTCAACCCTCGCACACAGGCACACATGAATAAACCCTTCCCTTCCTCCCCCCTCCCCCCCCCTGCATGAAAGACGATGTACATAGAAGCTGACAAACCAGCAAAAGGAGTCGGCACTGGAAGGGGCCGGGGGGGGGAAGTGGTGGACAACATAGTGCGGGGGACGGGGCGGTGGAGGGGAGAGGAAGGTCAAACACAGTAGCAGGCTGGCAGATGCTGCATGGAGCAAGAACGGCACCTAAAAACGGATGAATAGCTTCTGTGTCATCCCCTCTGGGTTCTCTTATTAAGTTCCAAGAAAGACAAAGGCGGAGAGGAAGGAAGTCGGAGTGAAGTTGCTACGCAGCAACACAGTTCTAGCAGGTGGTTGGGGCGGCAGGAGAACAGTCGGGATTGGCTGCCACCCGCAAAGCGGGTTGACTCAACAGTGGGACAGTGACCTGAGGCAGGGAGGTCTGTTCTGGAGGACGTGCAAAGGCGGAAGCAGGGATGGTACCATCTCCGGGGGCGGAAAGGGAAGCGGAGGAGGTCCGTGATGGGCCAGCTGAAATTTAAAAAATGCGCCTGTGTAAACGAGCCGCAGGACCGATGTGTTTAGCTCTCCGGCAGAGAGAGAGAAATGGTGCGCATATGGGAGGATGGGTGGCGAGGAATCTCAGGGATAGGACATCCCAGTGTAAGCAAGGCACTAAACTTTTCGGCAAACGTGACGCCCTAAAAGAGGCGGCTTTGACAGAGGGGCTACCAAATATTTGATGTTTCCCTGCCATTCAGTAGGGAAGTGCTGTGAAGCCCGTCGTAGCGCATTGTGACCTAGAAGGTAGAATAATGAGACGGAATAACTCAGTCCTTAGGGGACTGGGTTAGCCTGGAACGGCCCATTTTCTCTGTGATTTTGGTAGCACTACCACGCACATGGGAGGACATATTTCGCTCGGGAGAGGCCTACACTCTTGAGGGTGTTGAATTTGCCCTCGGACGTCGGCTGAATGAACTTGACTGCGTTGGCGATATCGCCTTGTTCGCACCAAACTTTAGTGATCCACAGTCTCTGGTATCACAGATGGACGAAGCCGCGAAATCCGTCAGTTTATACATGAGCGCTGGGAAGACTAAAGTCTTTCCAAGTCCCGTGCCAGGAAGCATCTCTGTCATGTAGACAGTTTCACTTACCTCGGGACAAGCTGCTACCCTAAAGGCTAGAGTAAGGACGACGTTGCTTCCTAAGTGGGTGTATCTCGCCGGGTTTTCTCAAGTGTTGGAAGGCGTCTATGGACTCGACGTGACATCTCCATCGCCACAAAGATCCGTCTGTACCATGAATCCGTCCGGTCAGTCCTCCTCTACGATCCTCGATGCTGAGCTGTGGGCGTGGAAGATGAACGAAAACTGAAGGTGTTTGACTATCGCTGCCTGACAACCATCCGTCGAGTGAAGTACACCGACTTCGTCTCACCGAGACAGTCCGAAGTCGCTGCAACAACATCGCGAGGATATCCCAGGTCAACCAAGATGAACGACTGAGGTGGTCCCTGGAACTTCGTTATTCGGTCACAATCGATGGAGATGAGAATGAAGTGAGGTGTCTAGATTCGCGGCCGCGGATTGTCACGCGTACAATCCATGACATCATCAAGGCCGACTGAATCAGGCATGCTCAGAGCTGTGCCAACAAACACCCCCTGCAAGTTCTCAATCCCCAGTGCAGAGCGAGATCGTGTGTGGCACGCGTAGACGGGTTGTCCGTCACCACGCCAACGCTTACTTCCGACCGTCTTGACTTCGCTTTACCATCGGAGTAGGGTGGGTGAGGAAGGGGAGAGTGTCGTAGATGCTGCGCTCAAGTTTGTCTCACATATCAACTGATTCAAGCACAAGCCACCGGCCCTGTACTCACTCTGTAGGGCACAAAGTGGACATCGCCGCTTGCGACGGTCTAACTGTCGCTGCAAACCAACTACTGGCCTTCACGATAGATTATTTGGGAGTTCCCTTTTTTACAGTAATGCCACGTACAGTGGGTGAGCTAATTCATGAAATGACAACTGAAATTCCGAAATGCGTTTTCGTTTCGAAATAATTGATTAAGAGGGGTTATAAGACAAATCAGTCTGCGGTAAAATTCTATAACAATTCAGTTACCTCAGCATGCCGACTTTCGAATGAACTTCCTTCCGGCCGCATGCAAAAACTACACTCTGTAAAAAATGACTACTTAAGTAGCATAAATTTTCTCTTTGCTTTTCAATGCCCCTAAAAGTCCAATTATATTTCATGGAAAACATTCATAAAATATTTATTCTCTTGCTCATTCGGTAGAAAATTACGTCTTCTTTCAATCTTATACTCGAATTCGGTTTTCAAAAAGTTTCTAATTGTGGGACTTTTAAATACAGTAAAATGGCCGTTCATAAATCGTCATATCTGTGCATTCACCAATGTGTCTTGTAAAGTTAACAATATGGATCAAATTCACTACTACATTTTATGAACCTCATATGATCTCCTCTGCATACCGTAGACAAATTTACGGTTTCCCGAACGCGGAAAATATACGGCTTGTAGGAGACACTATCGCTGGGACAATAGCTTTATTAGCCTACGGCTTGTAGTTTGGAAAACCCGAATGCAAGTGCAACGGCAGAGCGGGTTCAAAATTATTCGGGCATTGGAAATGCTTTTGAAAACCGAATAATACCCTTCTTTAGGGCATAAAATTGGAAGAAGACGTAATTACCTATTGGATGAGCTGGAGAATGAATACTTTAATGCATGTTTTCCAGAAAATATAATTAGACTTTTAGAGGCATCGAAAATCAATGAGAAAAATGCATGTCACAAAGGTTGTCATTATTTACGGAGTGTAGGTTTTGCATGCAGCCGGAAGGAAGTTCATTCGAAAGCCGGCATCTCGAGGTAACTGAATTATTATACTGCAGGCTGATTAGTTTTATAACCCTACTTAATTAATCTTTTCAAAACGAGAACGCATTTCGGAATTTTGGTTGACATTTCATGAGTTAGCTCACCTACAGTAGCTGGTGTAGGAGACGGGGGGGGGTGCGTACTGCTGGCCTACCAATTGCCCAGAACTAAACAAGTGCACGTGAAAGGGGCCGTAGTTGCATAAGGGAAGTAGCGAGACTACGCTAAGGCAGACTTCTGTTTGGCTTCAAGCCACGATTTAGAGCCACACGCGGGAGACGAAGAGGACAGCCAATTTCTGGCAGAGGGGGCGCTGACAAATTGCGCTAAGATTTTTTTTCTACTGAAGCACAGCTCTCTGCATCTACCACCCCCCCCCTCTATCCACACTTACCATGGGTGAGGTTTGGTTCTGCAGCCCCACTTCATTGGTACCATATGTTTTCAAAGTTGCGAAAATTCCCATGGAGCAGTTCAGAAGAGCATTTGGCGAGCCTATGCGTGCTTCCGCCAAATTCTCATCGGGCCTGTACATTTATATGGGAACGAGGTACATACTGAAACGTGTGAGCGTTTCCATATAAATGAAGAGGCCCGGTGAGAATTGATCGGAAGCACGCGTATGCTTGGCGAATACTCCTCTGATACCGTATGGTTACCTTACTAGGACAATATTAGTTAACATACCTAACTTAGCCACTTGATGGAATAGGAAGGGAAAGAGCGCGCTAGCAGAGCCATTGGCTTTGAAGACCCCTCGCAGGTATTGTAGTTCGGATCAGCTGCAGACATTCAAGGAACATCTGAATGAGGTCTTCCCGGACATTCAATTTACGATGGAGGAGGAATAGAACAACCAGCTGGCCTTCCTGGATGTCCTCGTATGCCGCAAAGACTGTGGTGGCCCAAAGACCAACGTGTTCAGGAAAACGACAAAAACGACGCAAGTACTGAACTTCAACAGCAACCACCCAATCAGCCACAAACGCAGCTGCGTAAGGACGCTCTATCGGCGTTTCGAAACGCATAGCAGTGAGCCGGAAGGCAATATTGCTGAGCTACAATACCTCCAACGGGTCTTTAAAGCCAATGGCTACCCGCACAACTTCTTCAGCCGGTGCATACGCAAAAGGGACGAAATGCCAAACCGCGTGGACACCAAATTATGTCAAGAACATTTCGGAAGCCGTCGGCCGCCTTCTCGCACCGCTTGGGGTTGCAGATACACAGAAACCGGAGGCAACCATCAGGCGTCTGGTAATGAAACCGAAAGACCCACTGCCACGGCAAAAAACGTCTGGAGTCGTTTATCAGATCTGGTGCAGTTGCGGACAAAACGGCAATGCCGGAGAAACCGGAAGATAGTTCCGAACGAGAATGGCCGAACACGCTGCAGCCGTGCTGAGAAATGACGCCAGCTCTCAAGTTGCGGCTCATTCGACGAGATCCAGCCACACATTCAAATTCGACGTGGCCAAAATTCTCGCCAGAGGTGAGCCGGGAGCTACTTGAGTCATGGTTTACTGGCCCCCAGTCCATGAACAAGTGCAATGACCTTCCCTTTTCATACTCGGTGCTGAGACTTCGCCTAGGCGGGGTAATTGCCGACGCGGGGAGCGCACAAGTGAACACTTTTCCCAACTCCAGAGTCAGTGGGTCAGATGGTCCAGTAATCATCACACAAACATCCAACGCACGTGATGGAATTGCAGAAATTAACGACGCGAATGTCGGCCATCAAACAATTGGCACACCACGTGCAACGATCCCGGTTGAAGGGGGGAGCCGTGAATGTTCATAGGTATGCGGTAGCATGGCGACTGCATCCTATAAATACTGCCGCCCCTTGTGTATGAACAACCCGTATCTGCCTTTTGTCTCTGATGATGGGTTCGAGCAGGAATCCGAAACGTAAGGCTGCTAAAGCTCTTGTCCCAGCGATCGTGCCTCTCTCTTCAGGACAGTCAATGTCTGGCAGAGGTAGCGCTGAGAACTTGCGCTAAGATTTCTTTCCTACTGAAACCCACCTCTCTTTGCATCTACTACACTCCCCCCCTCTATCCACACTTACCATGGGTGAGGTTTGGTTCTGCAGCCCCACTTCATTGATACCATATGTTTTGCAAGTTGCGAAAATTCCCATGGAGCAGTTCAGAAGAGCATTTGGCGAGCCTATGCGTGCTTCCGCCAAATTCTCATCGGGCCTGTACATTTATATGGGAACGAGGTACAAACTGAAACGGGTGAGCATTTCCATATAAATGAAGAGGCCCGCTGAGAATTGATCGGAAGCACGCGTATGCTTGGCAACTGCACTTCTGATACCGCATGGTTACCTTACTAGGACAATATTAGTTAACATACCTAACTTATCCACCCAATGGAATAGGACGGGAAAAAGCGCGCTAGCAGGGCTCGAAGTACGTGCAGGATGCGCGTGAAGATGGCTTGTAAACGCTTCCCCCCCCCCGACACAGCCACTCGCTGGATTAGTAAGGCGAGGGGGATGTAATCACAACTGGAAGGCTACAGTGAGAACCGTGTGGTGATTCGCAGTGCGTGGCCACTGAAGTAGAACTAATGGAGTTAAAATCCGTCCGGAAAATTCCATTAGCAAGGCTACTTAGACACTTGCCGAATTAGGATAATGAGGAAGGCGCAAGCAGGCCTCGAAGCACGCTCAGGGGAGAGCGTGTGAACTAATACCTGATGTAAACGGGGATGGCGTGGCACAGTTACTCGTTCAATTAAAAAGTGGCATAGAAGGAGCAAACACGTGATATTTGCAAAGTCAGCGTACTCCAATCTACTTAAATTAGTCTAGTAATCTAACCGTATGATATCGATCAAGTGGGGCTGCAGAACCCAACCCGCAATACCATGTTCTGATGACGATACAGGGCCAAGGTGAATGCGGACTGGCACAAACACGGTGGCTGAAACTGCGTCTACCCGTGTCGTCTTTAGCGGGCTTCGCCATACACACACAGGCTTTGGTTCCTGTTCTGGAATAGATGGAATCGAGCAAACTGATTATGGAGGCGTCTTATCCTACAGAGTAGTCGACCATGGGGGGGGGGGGAGGAAGGGTGAGGCCGAAATGGGGCAATCAATCCCAGTGGCACATCGGTACAGTCCTCACTTTAAAAGAAGACAAAGGCACGACCACTGGGGCAGTAGATTTATTGGCCTTAGCCTTCAAACTCGAACTGAGGTTCATCATCAGAGACTGCTAGAATGCAGCAACGTGTGAACATTTATATCATTGTGCCGTAAGCGGGAGGAGGGTACTACGTCCGTGGCTAGGTCTGGTTCGTGCCGCCTGGTCCACAATGGTCCCCCGGCGTGGTGACGCCATTTGTACTTCGCGGCGATGTGATCTGCGCCACCTGGCTGCGTGTGCGAGTCCTCACTGACTCGCATGAATCTACCACGACGCTCTGTGAGCGTGGTTCTGAAGGCTAACAACTGATGGGGTAAATCCCTTCCTCTCAGAACTGAGACCCAGATCACCACGGCTTCCTCCTAATGAGGCCCCTATGACACTCCCACACCTGTGAGGCCCGGGGCGCCCCTACATGTAGGGAGGGTCATGTCGGGTGTGGCGCGTGTAGATATATTGTTTAATACGCTAATGGAGGCGAAGAGGCGATTTCCAGGAAGTAGTCGCGAAGACGAAGACACGATCGCTGGGACAAGGGCTTTATTAGCCTGAAGTTCCGGATTCTCCTTCCGCATACTTCGACAACTGGCCAGTCGAGCCGTGATGCACTCGGCAACCACTAGCTATGATAGGCATGTAGCAGCCTAGCAACTACATCCTATAAAAACAGCAATATCTGGATAATCTACTACCCCTATCTGACTGTGTCTCTGACGGGCGTATTCGACTGAGAATCCGGGACGTCGGGCTAATAAAGCACTTGTTCCAGCGATCGTGTCTCCCTCTCCAAAACCAGTAGTCGATCGCTACGATCGGCTGCTCATGTCTCCTTCTCAGGACGAAGCGGCGGATGTAGATGTGAATACATTTATGGACGAACCATGGTTGGCGAGATACCTTCGAACAAGACGTCCAGTGTGAAATAATATTCAAGTCCGTTTTGCGAGGAGCCGACAACTCCCGAAGAAAATGCCACGAAAGGCACGGTTTTGCCCTCCACTCCCGCCAAGCGCTCCTGGGGTTCTACAGCTGATATGGGAATCAAACGGCATCAGCCGTGCGGATATTGAATCCCTCGGATAGATCCTTTATAAGCAGAGGTACGCTTCGGAAGCTATAGGTTCGGGTTGGACTCCTAACATGGGTTTTCTGTTTAAGCAAAAGACCAAGAAAACATTATGTGAACTCTTTTGATCAAAAACGTCGCATACAATCACTGACAGCTTCCGATGCCAGGCAGCGCGATGGCCCAGAAGATTCGTAAACCATCGCGTTCATTGTCTGTAAACTACTCAATAGAAGAGTGGTCATGTCTTAGGCGACTGCCGTGGTAGGAGTAGTGGATTATTCAGATGTTGCAGTATTTACAGGATGTAGTTGCTAGGCTGCTACATGCATATCATAGCTAGGAACTGCCGACTGCATCACGGCTCGACTGGCCAGGTGTTGAAATATGCGGAGTGAGAATCTGAGACTTCAGGCTAATAAAGCTCTTGTTCCAGCAATCGTGTCTCATGCTTCGCGATGTTATCTAGTCTCGTTATTTTCTGCGGTTGAGTCAATCGTCGGCCGTTTTGACACTATCTTGACATTGGGACCAGGTGGCCGAGGGGAGAGAGAGAGTGGTAGATGCTTCGTAACTCCGCCCTACCATAAACTAACTTATGCGCAAGATGCACCTGTTTGAGCGCTGCACATGAAGTAAATAGACAAGCAGCCCTGAGGCAAAATCTTTTTAATTTCCACTTAGCTTCATTAGACGCTCTGTGTTTTATCTGGTGAAGCAATTACTCCCTTCAAGCGAAATTAAAATCGAACCCTCGTCAAAGACAGCAGCTTAACCCACAGCTTAAGAGCAACAGCACGTGCAGTGGCAAAAGTGATCACTTTTAAGATGCAGACTAAACAACTAACACATAAATTAGCCACGCGTGATTGCGTCAATGACCTGACACAGTGGCACACAATAGTTCGGCCGACTCCGGTAAGGAGGCTTACAACTGCCTTATGAGCCTGATCTGGCAGGGACTAGTGTATGTGTGTCCTGTCGACGCTACTGTGCGGAGCAGAGACCTGGACGGTGTACAAGAAGCAGGCGCGGAGACTCAATCGCTTTCACCTCACCTGTCTTCTACGGATACTGAAGCTGAGGTGGCAGAACCGGATCCCGTATACGGATGTACTGGAGCAGACGAGAATCCTCTGCAGCTACGTCATGCTGAGACAGCTGCAACTGTGCTGAAGCGGCCACCTCGTGCGGATGGACGACGAGCAGTTACCTAAACGACTCTTCTGCAGAGATGTCGCCATAGGTGTCCGCCGCGACAAGGACAATCTGAAGACCCCCCCTGAAGCGTCTGCAGACCAACCCAGCCAACTAGGAAGACGACCGACCGACCTGGCGGAGGACAATGAAGACAGACGCAGCAATCAATGGAGCCAACCGCATCACCGTCGCTAACGCCAAGCGCGAGGATCGTAGATTCAAATTTACCGACTTCTCGACGCCAAAGCACGACCGCCCCCAACCTGCTCATGATGTCAGCGGCACAGTTGCGGTCTCCCCGTTCAACTCTGCCTCTTCCTCCCCGCCAACAGCTGACACTGACCGCACTCTTGAACCCCCACTACCATCCTCCTCCTTCTCCTCCATTGTCTCTACATCGGCTACGGCGGCTCCTGTACCCACCATCACTGCACACAAACCTGACACACCAAACAAACATCAACCTCCCACCCACCCACCCCCACCAATAACCCCAGCAATGTGAACTCGGTCCATACCTGTCCCCATTGAGACCGCATCTTCATATAACGCATCGGCCTGGTCGGTCGCCTACGAATCCAACCCACGGAGACCGGCGAACCAGTGCCTGGAGCACCAACCCACACTCGTCGCACTCACCCCCACTGTTCACACTGCTCCCGCACATTCACGCACCGTATGGGCCTCTTCAGTCACATACGTATCCACGAGGTCGGAATTAACCGCAAGCCCGACATAACCGGCACCTCCTGCACATCCACTATGCATAGGTCAACCCACACCCTGTCGCTCAGCACTTTCATCACCATCAGCTCCACCACACTCAGCACATCTTGAACACCCACCATGACTAGCCCAACGCGCACACCGTCATCCAGCGTGTCCACCATCAACAGCCCCACTACTGTCACCATCTCTGAAACTGATACAGACACCGTTGAAGCTTCCTGTTCACACTGCGTCGTACATTCAGCTCACACATCGACCTGATCGGTCACTCACGAATCCATCGCATAGAGACGGGAGAACCAGTGTCTGCAGCACCAGCATACACAAGACTTAACTGCCCTCACTGCACTCGCACATTCACCCGCCGCATGGGCACTCACAAAAACCTGCGGTAGACAACCGTCGGCTACGCAACACCAGCGCAGCCTCCCCTTGCCAAAACCTGCATCAAACAACATCATCACCTACCACAAGCATCCTACTGACACCTTCACGCAAGTGGGGAGGGCACGTCTCGGCTCCGTCTCCATGCGGCTTCTACTGCATGTGTGAATCGAGTCTGAGGCTATCACGGCGTGTAAAGCGCTGTGGCTTGGAAGGCTGCTGAATGACGCCCCAACTCATTTGTCTGTGTGTCTGTTCTGAGTGGCGGATTGGTGTGCTGAGAGCCAGGCTGTTACGGCTTCTTCTTAACATGACCTACAGCACTCTCACGCATGTGAGATGTATGTATGAGGTGGTGGTGGTGGCGGTGGTGGTGGTAGTAGTAGTAGTAGTAGTAGTAGTAGTAGTAGTAGTGGTAGAAGTAGTAGTAGTAGTAGGAGTAGTGGCAGTAGTAGTAGTAGTAATAGTAGTAGTAGTAGTAGTAGTAGTAGTAGTAGTAGTAGTAGTAGTAGTAGTAGCAGTAGTGGCAGTAGTAGTAGTAGTAGTAGTAGTAGTAGTAGTAGTAGTAGTAGTAGTAGTAGTAGTAGTAGTAGTAGTAGCAGTAGTAGTAATGGTGACAGTTGTGGTAGTATAAGTAATGTGGGTGGTATTAGTAGTAGCAGCTGGTCGTAGTAGTAGTAATAGTGGTGGCAGTAGTAATAGTAGTGGCAGTAGTATCCGCAGCAGTCGTAGTTATTGTAGTAGTAGTAGTAGTAGTAGTAGCAGCGGCAACAACAGTGGTGGTGGTGGTGGTGGTGGTGGTGGTGGTGGTGGTGGTGGTGGTGGTGGTGGGCCGAGCACTTCCGAGGCGTCCTCAACCGCCCTTCCGTCATCTCCGACGCCGCCATCGCCTGCTTGCCGCAAGTGGCGACCAACGTGGACCTCGACCTCCCGCCATCTCTCCAGGAAACGATCAGAGCCGTGCAACAGCTCTCCAGCGGGAAAGCACCCGGATCGGACGCGATCCCTGCTGAGGTCTACAAGCACGGAGGTCCCCTACTGATGGATCACCTGACTGCGCTCTTCCAGGAGATGTGGCGTCAAGGTGAAGTCCCGCAAGATTTCAAGGACGCAACTATCGTGCACCTATATAAGCGAAAAGGGAATCGCCAAGTCTGCGACAATCACCGCGGCATCTCCCTACTGGACATCGCCGGGAAGATCTTCGCTCGCATCCTGCTCAAACGCCTCAATAACCATCTGGAACAGGGCCTTCTGCCGGAAAGCCAATGCGGCTTCCGTCGTCATCGTGGGACCACGGATATGATCTTCGCCGCCCGCCAACTTCAGGAGAAGTGCCAGGAGATGCGGACCCACCTGTACTCTACCTTCGTGGACCTGACGAAAGCCTTCGACACGGTGAATCGTGAAGGACTGTGGAAGATCATGCAGCAATTCGGCTGTCCGGAGCGATTCAATCAGATGGTGCGTCAGCTGCACGACGGTATGATGGCGCGAGTCACGGACAACGGAGCTGTCTCAGAGGCATTCGCAGTGACCAATGGAGTGAAGCAGGGCTGTGTGCTGGCACCAACCCTCTTCAGTCTTATGTTCTCTGCCATGTTGATGGACGCCTACCGCGACGAACGCCCCGGGATCCGCATCGCCTACAGAACGGACGGTCATCTCCTGAATCGCCGGCGAATGCACTTCCAATCGCGCGTATCCACAACCACCGTGCACGAACTCCTCTTCGCCGACGACTGCGCCCTGAACACCACCTCCGAAGCGGAGATGCAACGCAGCATGGACCTATTCGCCGCCGCCTGCGAGAACTTTGGGCTGGTTATCAACACGCAGAAGACGGTGGTGATGCATCAACCGCCACCCAACTCAGTCACAGCCCCCAACGCGCCGCAAGTCAACGTGAATGGGACTCAACTGCAAGTGGTGGAGAAATTCCCGTACCTGGGCAGCACCCTCTCACGCAGCACGAAGATTGATGACGAAGTCGCCAACAGGATCTCGAAAGCCAGTCAAGCCTTCGGTCGCCTCCAAAGCACAGTTTGGAATCGTCATGGTCTTCAACTAAGCACAAAGCTGAAGATGTACAAGGCCGTCATCCTGCCGACGCTACTGTATGGGGCGGAGACTTGGACGGTGTACACGAGACAGGCACGCCGACTGAACCACTTCCATCTCAGTTGTCTTCGTCGCATCCTGAGGCTGAACTGGCAGGATCGAATCCCCGACACGGAAGTACTGGAACGAACGGGAATCCTCAGCATCTACGCCACACTGAGACAAATGCAGCTGCGCTGGAGCGGCCATCTGGTGCGCATGGACGACGAGCGACTACCCAAACGACTCTTCTACGGAGACGTCGCGACGGGTTCTCGTCGTCAAGGAGGCCAAATGCGCCGTTACAAGGATACCCTGAAGTCCTCCCTGAAGCGCCTGCAAATCAACCCGACCAACTGGGAAGAGCTCGCCCGCGATAGTCCGACATGGAGGAGAACAGTGAAGACGGGCGCTGCTATCTACGAAGTCAACCGCATCGCCGCCGCCAAAGCGAAACGCGAAGCCCGCAAATCACAACTTCGTCCAATACGCAACGCCGCCGCACAACCTCTCCCTACGTGTCCTCGATGTCAACGGACATTCCGGGCACGTATCGGACTTGTTGGACATCTTCGAACAACTGCACCTCTCGAACTGCTCCAGCCATCGTCCCCCAGCCCGCCGTTTCCTCGTCCTCTGTGCCGCCAACTAACTCTGACACTCCTTCTGCACCACCACTTCCATCCTCCTCCTTCTCCTCCACTGCCCCAGCGGTGGCCGTTCAGGCTGCCGTCTCACACATCGCCAACCACGACACAACAACCGCAACCACCCCCACCCCTCCCGATTCCAGTGATGAGGATCAGGACTACACCTGCCCTCACTGCGACCGCACCTTCACCTCACACATCGGCCTGGTCGGTCACTTGCGAATCCATCGCACAGAGACTGGCGAACCAGTGCCTGGAGCACCAACCCACACCCACCGCACTCGCCTCCACTGCCCACACTGCCCTCGCACCTTCACGCATCGCATGGGTCTATTCGGCCACATGCGCATCCACGAGAGCGGAATTGACCGCAGCCTTGACACACCCACCCCGCCGGGCCCCACTCCCAATCCACCACCTTGTGCACCCACTAACCACTCACCAGCCGACATCGACGCCACCGACCTTACCACCCCTCACTCCTCCCCTTCCTCCATCACTGCCACAACGACGGCCGCTTCGGCGTCTGTCGCCCACGACCTCACCACAGCCGAACCTGAGACAACAACAGGCACAACCGCTGCAACATCCATCATCAGACGTGAGGGCCGGGACTACATCTGCCCTCACTGCGATCGCACCTTCACTTCACGCATCGGCCTGGTCGGTCACTTGCGAATCCATCACACAGAGACTGGCGAACCAGTGCCTGGAGCACCAACCTACACCCACCGCACTCGCCTTCACTGCCCACACTGCCCTCGCACCTTCACGCATCGCATGGGTTTATTCGGCCACATGCGCATCCACGACGACCTGCGGTAGACAACCGCCGGTCACACCACACATTCCCTCACTCCCTACCTCCTAACACCATCACCCCACCAGACATCAACCCTCACACACCTCATGCACTCAACTGCCGCCTCCCGCGCAAGTGGGAAGTGTGCATCTCGACTCGGTCCCCATGCGGCTTCGGCTGCACGGGTGACTTGTGTCCGAGACTATCCCGACACGTCAAGTGTCGTGGATAGGAAGGTTGCTGATTGAGGCCCGCTCTCGGTTCACGCAGTTCGTCACGTTGTGTGTGTGTGTGTGTGTTGTGCGTAGTGGCGGACTGGTGGGCTGGGGATGGGCTGAAGCAGCACCTTCCACGGCACTCTCACGCAAGTGGGAGACACGCCGTTCTACCCCCGTTGTGTGAAATCCTGGTGTTTGTGTGTGTATGGGGGGCCAGGTCGTGCTATGGCGCGCGCAGGCATGGTCAGTCGACCATGTCAGCCACCGCGCCCATTCCCCACTCCAGTCTGCTGACCGGCTCGGACAGCGGCAGGGGTGTGGGAGTGGGAAGGGAGAGTGAGGTCGACGACTCAGCGCACTTTCTCCTCACTATAAACAATCTGACGAGCTTGAAGCTATCACGGTGCGCTAAAAGCCGTGGCTTGGAAGGTTGCCAACTGACGGGGTACCTTGGACCTCCTCCTTAACGGGAGGCGGTCTGAGAGTCAGGCTGCAATGGCTCCTTTTTAATGTGGCCTCTATGGCACTCCTACCACAGTGTGGGATCCGAGCCAGGCGTTGGCGGCACGCCTCGGTGCGGCTTCGGCCGTGCCAGCCTCCAAATCTCTGTTGTGTTGGTTGAAATCCTGGTTATTGTTGTGTGGACCAGGGGGTGTGGTGGAACGCCAAGGTGAGGATCCGTCCGAGCCATCCACCTGCGGCCTCCCTCGTCTCCGGTCTTTTTGACTCTGTCTTGACACCGGGCTTGGGCGAGGGAGGAGGAGAGAGTGTAGGTAGATGCTACGCAAGTCTACTGGCACTATAAACCCCTGCGTAAGTCACCGTCCCTGCTCCCACCGCTGCTGCAGCTGTGGGGCACACGGTGGACATCGTCGAAATCGACGGT